AGATTAAGGAATTTATTCTAATATTCTAATTTGTGTTTTCGCTAATGTGTAGGCTGATATCTGTTTGACCAATGAGAGATTAAGGAATTTATTCTAATATTCTAATTTGTGTTTTCGCTAATGTGTAGGCTGATATCTGTTTGACCAATGAGAGATTAAGGAATTTATTCTAATATTCTAATTTGTGTTTTGAGGACTTATTATTTTAAAATAAATTCAGAGCCATCAATTAAATATCTTATAAGATGCGAGAAGCAGGACTTTAAAGGGACTTGCGGCATTATTTTAGATGAGAAAGATTGATTAGCAACTGTTAAATCATGAATGAAATATCAATGATTTTTTTCTGTATAAAATTGCTTGCGGATTTCCTTCTACAACAGCAAATTAAACGATAAAAGAAACTGTTAAAATTGATCACTACGAGCAAAAAAAACATGATTGCTAAAATATCTTTGCCACTCTATAAACAGAGGGGCACTTATGGTCAAAGCGACTGTCCTTTAGAAGAATTTGTTAACCCTAAGATTCATGAAGTTATATACATACATTTTCCTTAACTCTGATCTCTGTAAGACGGTCAGCGATCTCTACCTTCCAATCCTGTTGCATCAGGTGGAAACTATCTCCTGGAAAATAAAGGGGAATATATTTTCTAGATAATCATTCCACGCATCCTCCCACCAATTGAAAACTATATTTTCATGTTTACACCCCAGACCATTTTTAGAAAAACATTATTTTTGATACCCAGATGTTTTGAGTTTGATTGCACCCCCCTAAATTTTTTTGTTCCCAGATGTTAGGTATGATTGCACCCACCCCCCTCTCCCTTCTTTTTAATCTCCAGATGTTATCTGTTGTCCCCCGATCTCTTAATTTTGCAATTTTCAATATGTGTCTAGAATCTAATTTGTGCGTAAAATGGTCGAGATTGAAGAAAATAAAAAAAAAGATTTGTATAAGGAGAAACATTAACATTAAAAAAATAACCGCCCCCCCCCCCCCATCCCATTCTCCGGACAACAATTTAAAAATAATAGGATTGAATTATGTTTTATTCTCGTTAGAAAAATGTGTCCACCTGGAAGACTGTTAAATGTTGAATGAGCAAGCGTATCTAAACTCTGAAGAATAGAACTAAAACTAGGCCGGGCATGACAATCATATTCCCAGCATCCTTCCATCAATCCTCTAAATTAACAGATAAATAATTTATTTATTCATAAAAAAAAACATAAAAATAAAAAAAATGAGTAATAAAGGAACAATGTTGTAATACGTGTAGGCTGATATCTGTTTGACCAATGAGAGATTAAGGAATTTATTCTAATATTCTAATTTGTGTTTTCGCTAATGTGTAGGCTCATATCTGTTTAATCCCTGTTTTTACCTGAACTTTCCTTTCCGTTTCCTGGGAGTAGGAGTTTGATTATGCGCCTGCTGCTGAACTATCATCATATTCAGCTCTCTCTGCAGCAGCGTCAACTCACGCTCAGCCAGCTCTGCTTCCTTCTGCTTTATATCCTCCTGATAGATACATGTTCAATCATATGTTATCATGTTTGGTGTTTTCACAATTTTCTAAACACTTTTAAACGAGGTTAAAGTGTATATAGCCCTAATATACGCTACTTTTTTCCTAATTCTTAGGCCGGGAAATATAACGAGAGCGTACTGCATATTTCATTATTATACTATATATATAGGTTAGGCCATAATCTCCTTCCGTCATTTAATAGTGTACACTGTACACTGTACAGTGTACAGTCTAGATTAATAGGCTGGCAGGTGGAAAACTATTAGCCCCCTAGATACTTTCTAAGGATAAGTTCAAAAATAGTGAACCAATATGTCCACTACTGTCCTGCCGACCACCTCTTACCTAACGCATTACATCTGCAGCAGGGTTATATATTTTTGAGAATAACCCCATCGTAAATATACTTTTCCAGTTATGTTTAAGTTAAAGGGCAATCACGTGCGATTATTCGTTTTTTAGTTTTGACTCCTTGGCAAATTCAATAATAACTATTTTTTATCCAAATCATTGAATCGTTACAAATTTCCACAATTTTTATTCAAGATGAACCAATCTCAGGATTGTTATATCTATTTATCTCCCTTCATTTTGAAAATGTTAAGAGAAACAAACCTCCAGTCTTCAGGACATGTTGAAGGAATGGGTAGCGCCAGTTTGCCCATAGCTACCCCGTATGCTATTGCCATGTCATTAATTCCTGAACAAAAAAATTATCATTGAATAGGTAATTTTTGAAACAATAAGAATAATTTGATAATAAGAGAAAATATACAAATCCGAGCAAAATAAAAAATCAAGGGAAGCATTTTTTTTATTTAGGCGTCAGATTTCTAAAATAAGTTTTCCGGATAGATATTAGATAATTTAAAGAAGGTTAAATTTCATTAAAAAAATTTTATTCACGACTGTTAAAATCTATCTTTTAAACCTTTACTCCCCCTTAATACACAAATTTGACGGTTCTCCAAAAAGTAAATCGTACATTTCTACAACAAAGGCCAGTCAAATAAATGGTAAAATCAGTTAAAAAATATTTTTAGATGAATTGCAATTACTTCTGTAAATCGTTGATGACACCCCAATACTAAAATGTATCTTAAAATGAGCTGTGAAGGGAATATACTCGTAATATCAAGGGACCCTCCATGCAAAGATAACAATGACCGATGTAAAGGGAGTGACCGGAAATGTATGGTAGTTGAAATGAGATTGCAGTATTATTCTGAATTTTTTTATGATTCATTTGAGACCCATCAGAAGTGGAATTAACATCGTAATTCTGACTAGAAAAGTGGCAAGTTCTCATAATTTCTCGATTATCTTATAAACAAGAAATGCGCATGTAAGAGAAACCGAAAACGAAAATAAACAGTATTAATAAATGAAAACATGGCTATCTCAGACAGAATTTTCAAGGATACCGATGAAAATCGGGCCTTGCCATCTTAGCATGGAGTGTCACTTGAAATTACGCTTACAGTTCCTTAAAAACTCTGCTAATTTTACCTTTATAAGGGGTTTCTCCCGTCAATAGTTCCCAAAGAAGAATGCCATAGCTCCAGACATCTGATGCTTTACTGAAGGTTGAAGTTTTTATCACTTCAGGAGGCATCCATGCGTACGTCCCGGCAGCGGTTACTTTCGTTGTATTTGCAAACTCCCGGGCTAGACCGAAATCGGTTATTTTCAGGGTTTTAAACAACAGATCATCATCTTTATCAATGATTTCGAGGATTAGCACATTGGAAGACTTGAGGTCTCGATGGACTAGGGATATGGGAGCACCATGATGAAGATAGGCCATGCCTCGGGCGATCTGAATCGCCCAGTCGATAAGGACATCTGGTCGGATTTTTCGTCCACCCAGAACCCGATTTAGAGCTCCTCCGCGGGCAAATTCCATAACTAGTGAAAGGTTTGGTTCCTCTAGGCACACTCCAAGTAGTCCAACTATATTCTGATGTTTGAGAAGCCAAAACAGTTTTCCTTCTTGGAGCACTTTATTCTTTGTTTCTTCGGGAACTTCGTCAGGGTCTCGTCGGGCCGCTTTCACGGCAACTTCGTGACCTCGGTAGTAACCTCTGAAAACCTTTCCGAATCCTCCTGCACCAACTACCTCCCCCACCTGGAGTTCAGACCAGGATATATGCGGGGGATAGAACCGTTTCAATTCTTCCTTGGATAAATTTGAAAAATCCAGATCACAGGGTGCTACAAAATTACACGGGAAGACTCCGACCTTACCCTGGCATTTACCCGTCCACCATCCTTCATCCCCGGAGATTTTATAATCTTTACTTAGCACCTCGATTTCATCACCTTTCGTCAAGTTTAATTCATCCTCACCCTGGGCATCATAATCGTAGATGGCCGTCCACATGGACTTGGCCACGGAGTTAACCATTAATTCCTCCGTCTGGTCTACCGAGGATGAATGGGTAGGTTTGTGTACTGGAATGGGATTATTACCCAGCGGAGAATGAACTAACATTCCTCGACCTGAAAATATTCTAAAATTAGGGGATATTTTTGAAGCTTGAAAACATGAATATTTGATCTATTCCTGTTCTAATTCAACAAACTCAAACTGCTTACTCAATTAAATCAGAGTGAAGGGAGCCATATTTAATAAATATCGAAAATTTTCGAAGTATCTAAATTTTTTTCTTGAGCGCTGGTTTACGTCTGTTAGAGGGTTCATGTGTTCCCATGAAGCATAACAAATTGGATTGCAGAGGTACATGACCGATTCACAATTGTACCCTTTAAACCTTTATTTGATCAATAATGTGAAAGTTATTGTCTTTTTCCTAGGTGGAAAAGGGTTTAACTTAAACATTTTCTACAGTGCTTCTGAAGCAAGAAATCCGCAGGTCTAATTTTGTTATAGAGAATATCTATAATTGATAAAACAAAGCTAAAGGGATACATTGTGAATTGGACACGTCAGTCCATATATATGGAGGGAGTTCCTTTAACGAAAAAATGGCGCGAAGCACACTAGATGATATGTAACCTGGAGAGAGAACAGATGATAGTCCCAGTTTCTCCCGCTCGGAGCTCGTGCTGCTCCCCATACTGGACAAGGATACTCGACCATTCCTCCTGAAGTAAATTTGAAATATAACAAATATTACAAAATTGATTTAGTTTAATAGGTTCGAAATATGGTTAATTATCAATATAATATAAAAATAATAAAAGCATTAAATATAATATTATGAATATTTCCTTTTAAAAAAAAAAACCCGAAACACAGTGACAAGAATTTTAAAACAGAAAATATCTTGGGGTCTCGTTTTCATTTCTTTTTACATAAAATTAAACAAGTATTAAGCAACCAAACAATTCCCTTGATCAAACAAAAATGTTTTAAATGTCAAGCTAATTGTCACATTAATGTTAAATGGTAAATGTTAAATGTTAAATGTTAAATGTTAAATGGTAAATGGCATCCTTAAAACCACGTTAGAGCTAGAAAAAACTCAATAATGATTGTGATTTTAAGGTCAAAAACTAGATTTGTTGCTGCTACTGTATTGCCTGGATTCCTAGCTTTAGTTTATTATGCATACAGCCAAATTTAAAAACAATTTTAATTTGAAGGTCATTAAAGGTCATTATAATGTCAAATACGGGATTCCTTACTGTTACTGTATTGCCAGGGTACCTTGCATTCGTTTGATATGCATAAAGCCATAGTTAAAATATTTCCAGTTTGGATGTTTTTAAAGGTTGTTATAGGTTATTTGAAGGTCAAACACTGGATTTGTTGCAGCTAATGTAACTCCTGAGTTCCTAGCTTTCGTTTGATATGCATAAAGCCATAGTTAAAATATTTCCAGTTTGGATGTTTTTAAAGGTTGTTATAGGTTATTTGAAGGTCAAACACTGGATTTGTTGCAGCTAATGTAACTCCTGAGTTCCTAGCTTTCGTTTGATATGCATAAAGTTATGGTTAAAACTATTTCATTTTGGAGCTCATTATAGGTCGTTGCGGGGTCATTAAAAGGTTAAACACTAGATTCGTTTCTGGTACTGTATTCCCTGGGTGCTTAGTTTTCGTTTGATATGCATCAAGCCATAGTTAAAACCTTTTCTATTTGTCGACATCATTAAAGGTCATTAGAGGTCATTTGAGTTAGTGTCCAATTTTATTTTACTGTAGGAAATTCGAACACAAATCAGGCGTCCAGCCAAAAAAATGAAAGGTTTGAACCAAAAATAAGGGCAGGAACCCCTTCCCCTCCACCATCTCCAACATTCCCTTTTCATTCATTTTCCACTTTAATTTCCCAGATTCAGCGAAAAAACCAATTGACCTATTGGATGGAGTGCTCGGAGTGGCTGGAGTCCTTCCTCCACTGGAAGGTGTTCTACTAGTTCCTGGAGTACCGGGAGTCCCTGATCTACCCTGAGCACTCCCTGCTCTACTTCTACCAGGAGTACTTGCTGCTCTACTAGGAGTAACTCCGGGAGTTCGTGGAGTACTTGGAGTTCTTCCAACACGACCACCTAAACATATTTTTAATACAATTGGGACTGTAAAATGTAAATGTAATTTCAAGCGACTGTTTATGCGGTTTACAATGGAATTGGTAGGTTTAAGACCTCAAATTAAACTTTATAGAAATCCGGTAGATTTCTATAACATTTGTATCCAGATGAGATAAACAATCAAACCCAACCTATCTCTAATCCATAACATTTGTATCAATCCTTAACATTTGTATCCAGATGAGATAAACAATCAAACCCAACCTATATCAAATTCATAAGACTCGAATCCCTGTTTAAAGACCATTATGGTCCATGTCATAAATAAATATTTATTCTTAATTTCGTCACAACTTTAGAGTTAACGCGTTTCATTGGAATGTCACTGGTTCATAATTGTATTGAAATGTGTACAGTGTAACTGTGAAGTAATTTGTCTAAATTCTCAGATTTTTATTCAAGTCCATCTTTAACCATTGGAATACACGGGAGTGCCAGAGAATCAAGGATTACCAGTCCCGGGGGTGGAGCTATTTCGTAGATTTAAAATAATTCTGAAACTCAGAATTAAATTTTATTTTAAAGAAGCCTTCAATATCAGGTTTTAGCATTTAGAGAATTTTTTTTTATTTATTTTTCCCACCCTTTTTAGTTTTATTAACAAGTTATTGAGTTTATTCTTTCCTCTGATTTGCTGAAACAAAACAATCTATTCTACCATTGGTCAATTCAAGAATCAACTTATATACATGAAATTTTAAAGGTCGTCTTTTTCAATATTTTAAATAATTTCTTCGGTAATGTTACATCGTCTATACGCAACACCCCCCCTACTGAACTTCTGACCTACTAACTTTCCAACCTACTGCAATATCGGACCTACGCTAGCTGTTTATTTAGTATTATTTGAGGGTTAGGTTAGGTTAAGACAATTTCCATGGGCCGAGCGCTGCGGCTAGGACAGGCTAGGGGGCCGAGCGCCGCGGCTAGGACAGGCTAGGGGGCCGGGCGCTACGGCCACAAGTCTATCGTAAATATACTTTTCCAGTTATGTTTAAGTTAAAGGGCAATCACGTGCGATTATTCGTTTTTTAGTTTTGACTCCTTGGCAAATTCAATAATAAATATATACTTGAAGAGTATTTAGTATCATTAGATTATGAGGAGATATATAAATATCCGAGGTTTATAATTATGAGAAACAGTTCAACCTATGAAGATACCCTCCTAGTTGAAGAGCTTATAACTTAACTTATAATATTGTTCATTATTGTTTCTTAATCAACACTCATTTATCAAAATTTTAATAGTGTTCCTAATTTTCATGCATTTAAGTATAACTAGTAATTTCTTTTTGTTCTTAAATTGCTAATGTTCCTATTATTGTTCCTGTTCCTAATACTGTGTCCGACCCACCTTAAATCCCTGTCCTAATCCTATACTTTTGTTCCTAATTCCTGAACAATCTTTACATTGTTCCTAAATCCCTGTCCGAATCCTTTAATTTTGTTCCTAATTCCTGAACAATCTTTTTATTGTTCCTAAATCCCTGTCCGAATCCTTTAATTTTGTTCCTAATTCCTGAACAGTCTTTTAATTGTTCCTAAATTCCTGTCCTAATCCTTTATTTTTGTTCCTTATTCCTTAACAATATTTTAATTGTTCCTAAATTTCTGTTCTAATCCTTTAATTTTGTTCCTAAAAGTTAAAAATCTAATTTTTTAGTCTTTAGTCATTAATTTTGACTCTTTTTGAGTCTTTTAAGTCAAAAAAATTTTCGCCTGCGCCACCTTTTTTTATTCCTATAATTATTAATTTTTTTGATCCTAAAAAATCTTGCCCCCCCCCCCTCACTTAAATCCTGTATCCGCCCCTGCTTACATCCTGTATCTGCCCCTGTCTAGAATGCAATTTTTAAATGCCAAGCCACAAAGGTAGTAAAATGCCATTTTTAAAATTTAGATTTAATTTACTTTATTCATATAGCACTGCCGTTTTGTAATCTTTCTTTTATTACAAACTAGATATTAAGTGCTCGGCGATGACCATGGAATTTGATTTGAATTTGGAATCAAATTAAAACAAAAAACAATTCATTTAGCTTATGTCATCCCCAAAGGTATCCATGAGTTTACTCACTAAAATTCAGCCCATTTGATTCAGCCGTTTGGCCAGCCATTGCAAACACATAAATGAATTCTATATAAGAACTTTGTTATATGATTTTGTACTTCTACTTTATTTTCACAACAGAAACTTTTACAAGTCATAATTATTTTCTGGAGTCCAGAAATTTCTGGACCTTTGTCCTTTATTTCATCTCATCGAATTTAAGTTTAAGTTAAGTTTTTCTTGAAGGTATTAGCGGATTATTGTTTATTTGGATTAAGAGAGAGAAAAGAGTATAAAAATTATCATTGGAATCATTCAATACTCTGAAACACCCTCTTCCTCACTGATATTGCTGTGTCATCTACGGATTGAAATATATCACATAACAAAATAGTTTTTGTTAAATAATTTGTGTAGAATTTTCACAAGAAAAAAAAGAGAAAAGCAAAACGCCTGATATCAAAGAAGCCAAATGTTTTGAATTTACAGTTCAAATTTTGCCCCCCCCCCGTAGTAGCTCCTAGGAGAGGGGGAAAAATGTTGCCCGTCGCGCAAATTTCGCCCCACCCCCTTTCCTAGATTTATTTCAGTATACGCCATTGAGCGTTCCACAAGCTTTAACGGCAAAAAACGAACATTATATTCAGGGTCGTTCGAGGGGGGGGGGGGGTAAAAGGAGTGTATTTGATGTTTTACTAAGCAAATATAGTTTTATTAGACACTTAAAAGTTCACTTGTAAGTTAAATGGATCTGTAGTGTTTACGATGCACAATTGCTGTGACTGGTTTCCAATCGGAATTTCATTTCGTGCACTGGTTGCTTCCGCTTGCGCCATTTCATTGCGCGCAATTGCGCTAAAAATTGCGAAAAAGGAAGCAATTAAATATTCGCAGAATTGCGCGGTATTCAGAGCAACGGAATTGCTTTTCTATCTAAAAATCAATGTTTTTTAACTATTCGACTTACAAATTATGCAGCTGCAGATACAAGAATGGAAATACTTTAGATTTTAAAATAATCGAGTTTCATAATTGTTTCAACAGTTTTCAAATTTTTAAGTTTCTATTATTTTATTTCGTTCACACATGGATGAACATTAAAATGGAAACTTTTTTGGTTAACATTTTAAGGTTCGTGTAATCAAAATAAGATATTTTGTTACAGTGAGAACCAGAAAACCATGGAAAAGAAGGACAAGGAAGTTCTCTTGTCCCGTTCCGTTCCGTTCTGAGTAGAAGAACGAAAGAACGTTTCCATCCCCCGTTCCGTTCTAAGTAACAAACAATTCCATCCAAGAAAAAAGTTTTATAGAAAAGAGTTGGTTAAAAAGTAAAAAAAAACCCGATTTTTTAATAAAAAGTTCCTCACAGCCGTAAATAATACTTTAAAGCATATATTTTAAATTTATGGTTAAAAGAATAAGCTTAGATTATTTCTGGGCTGAGCAATGTATAATTTTGTGAGAGCGGGGGGAGGGGCGGGAGAACTAATATCCTTAAATATGTATCATATACAGAAGTTAAACTGAAACCTGCTGTGTAGTCTGTTGTCAGTTTAGCAGAGACCGGGGAAAGGGGGGATGGTGTGTTTAAAGTGGGGGGAGGGGAGGGGGGTCAGGTGATTAAATTAAAAAATCTTTAACTATTTCTAGATGATTTAGAACACATTCCTGATTTAAAATGCGTTTAGAATGCATTCTTGATTATAAGAACCCGTCACAATTTTAACCGTTCTTTTCAAGCAAAATTCCTGTTCCGTTCCATTCCGTTCTTGTACCAATCATTCCAAAATTTTTAAGAACACGTTCTAAGCATTGATTTTTTCTTCGGAATGATGGGATGTTCTTGATCGTTCCGTTCATTCTCAGGAAAGAACGATCTCGTTTTTTTAAAAGCAATGCTTGGTTTGTTTTTATGGTGATGGTTTTCTTTATTACATTGTCAATGTACGCTATAAAGAATAACCTTTTTAACAAGTGTATTTAAGCTTTTAAGGATTACATTTTAGTGTCTGAAATTTTTCAGTTTACATATACAATATACATAAAAAATAAATGAATGGTACTTAAGCTTAAGGAAAAAATTCATTATTTAAAATCAAGGCTTCTTGTCCCTCGGCCTCATCATGCTATTATGAAGATGAATATAAAATAAAATTTCTACTGTTTTTTTTAAAAGAGTTTATTTATTGACAGAATTGACATTGAGACATTGAGGCATTCTTAGTGAATTTTTGAGTACTCAAAAAAATGACAAATATCCTAGCAATTAAAATAATGTTTTTGAAACTCCCAAAAATGGCTATTATATTCCAAAATAAATGGATGAATTTTTTCCTTTTAACCAAGGGTAACTAGATTTTAGAAAATTATGAGAAACAATTTCTTTTATATGAAACTGGGAGGGGGGGGGGCAAATTCGTCACTGCACCCCCCCCTTCAGAATTGAAAGGGGGTGAACCTGCACCCTTCCACCCCCCCCTGGTTACGGGCCTGACTCATGCTCCTTGGACTTTTTAAAGTGATAATTTGTTTCTAAAAGTCGTCTAACTATTCCATAGTTTTCTAGTTATCATTGTATTTTCATGCATGCAATTTTGTATTAGCCTAATACCATTTTAGAACGTTTCAATCTTTTGAAATCTTTAGACAATTGTCTCTACAAGCATAATTGAGCTACAAACAATCTAATGTGATGCGGGACACCCTGTATTAAACTTACATTTATATTCTTGTCTTTTCAATTGAAAGTTTGTCCAGTTTATGATAATTTTCCAAATTCTTTCATTTATAGCCTAATCTGTCGGGGTTTTATTTAAAATCCATTTCTGAGTTTAAAATGGTTTACCTGAGTTGAGGAGAGTTTTATTCAATTCCGTAAATTGTTTAGAGCAGACACAGGATTTCAGCCATGGGGGGGGGGGAAAGACTTTTTAGGTACAAAGAAACCAGAAATTAGATAAAAAATAACGCACAAAGTTAAGCAAAGCTCAAAATTAATGACTAAAAAACTAAATTTTTAACTAATCACCCATTATAGTTTTGTAAGATAGATATGTTGCCTGTTTTTCATTTGATTTTAAGAAGCTAATAAAACCCAAAACTGGAAATGTAAGATGTGTTTCAATTATATGTAAATAAATTGGTATCACTGAAAATTTGTGAAACACGTATAGCCAATATTTTTATAAATTAAAAAAATTTCCTGCAAACTAGAGGATGAGTACAAACAGCTTCTCCTAAACCTGACCATTTCTTATATAAAATTTTAATTTGTCTCCATATGTTACTTTTTGCTGTACGTAGGGTTGCTAATCTTTTTTGAAAACGATCGTTTTTTGTTTCGTTTTTCAATCGTTTTGTTTTTGAAAAAAAATATCCTTTTAAAAATGACCCACTAGTTTTAGAAAACGATCGTTTTTATGAAACGATTTGTACCATTTTTATACGATCGTTTTTGAAAAAATGTATTGGCAATTATGTTAAGGATCGTTAACAAAACGACGAACTTTATAAAATCAGTTGTTTTTGGAAAAACGATCATTTTTGAAGAAAAAATTACATGCAACATTATTTTTGCGTTTTGTTAATGATCGTTAGCGAAATGACGGATTTTATTAAAACTATCGTTTTGAAAAACGATCGTTTTTAATAACAATAGTTTTTCAAAACGATTGGTTTAAAAATGACTACTTTTAAAAAACAAACTTTTTGAAAAAAAAATCGTTTTGTTTTTGATTTTTCTTCGTCGTTTTCAAAACGAAACTATTGTTTTTCAAAAAAAAATGAAAACGTTAACATACCATATTTACGATGGTATATTAGAATCCTTAATCTTAGAAAAAAAGGTAAAGAATAAGCTTCTCAAATACAAAAAAAAAATATTTTAAACCTTATATCACTATTGTAATGGATAGAAAAAAATTCCCAAATAACTTATTTCTGAATGCACTTCATTTTACTTTTGAAGAAAAAATAATCTATATTTCCGCAACCATTTAAGATTTGTTGAACTTATATTTTTATTTTTGTGTCTTTATACTTTATACTTTTTAAGTGTAGTTCCTTCAGTCGTCTATTTTTAAAAAAAATGACATTATAACAAAAAGCAAACATTAAAGAGTAAATAAGACTAAGAGGGACAGACATTTTGCTCAAAACATTTGACCTGCATTTGCTTATATTCAAAACTGATTTTATTTTTGAAAATCTTTCTGAAAGGAATTGAGTTTTTGCTACAAACTCAAATATTCTAATCCCTATATCTTTGCAACTAGATGGTGTAAAACGATGATATTTCAAACTTAGACTATTTGATCTAGCAGTATTCATAGTTTGAAATATCAAAGATCTACAACATCGGGTTGCTAATTGATAAAGGGTGGAAAAGTTAGAGTGTGTGGCAAAAACCCATTTTCTCTGTTTTGGCAAATTTATTTAAATAAAAAACCATGACAAGAGAAATGTGAAATATAATTTTTTTTAATATTCTTCTCAAACTATTCAAAACTCAAAAATTCTTAGTTATAGACAGTTAAATACGGTTAAACTTCTGTTCTGGAATTTAGATTTTAGAAAATACCATTTTGAAAACATTATTTCTTACATGGAATTGTTCTGGACTGGAATTGGAAATGGCAAAATGTTATTAGGCATAATGTTACCTAGGCAAAATGTGACTAAGCAAGTTGTGAATAGACAAAATGTGATTAGGCAAATTGTGACTAAGCAAAATGTAGCTGAGCCCCCGGGGGGGGGGGCAAATTAACTCCCCCCCCCCCTCTATTTTCTTATTGTGATTTATTTATATAACATTTGATACCTTTTTTGAAAGCCCTTGGGCTCTACTTTAATAATCTGCAAAAAAGAAAATTTTTTGTAAATCCAAATATTTTTTGCGAAATCTATTTATCAAGCAAAAAGTGCGCAAAATAAAAGTTGCACAAAGTACAAAAAATTATATATTTTTGAAAAGCCCTTATTCAAATATGAAAAAAAATTGCAAAATTTTTCAATACTAAAAATGTGCAAATTCCATTTAAAGGTATCTGTGCAAAATTTCTTTGCAAAAATTGTGCAATCTGGTTGGTGTTGTTATAAGCTTTCCCAAGAGCTATGAAATGTTGATTTCCAATGACTGGAAGTTTGTCTAAATATAGATTTAGTCTGGTATGCCTGAGGACGATCAGGCAGTAGGTATAAAAGCCCAGCTTTGAGCCTGAAGTGACGGGCATGTGTTAGTTAAAAAAGTCAGAAAATTTAACTTTCCTAGGTCAAATAATTTTTGAGTAATCATAAAAAACGATAGGGGGGACAATTTGACCCCCCCCCCCCCTAGTAAATTGGGTTAAAATTTTCCTTCAGGTTAGCTTTTTCTCTACAGGGTGTTGTTTTAAACCTTGAATATTTCCATATTAATTGTCTACGAAATCGGGTTGCAAAGGTGTAGTATATGAAAATTAGAGTTTGTGCCATAAATTCATTTCCTTTTATCTAGAACCATTAGTCTTTGCTGTCATAATCTTCAGTCAAATCTCTTACATTGATAGATTAGAGACGTTTTGAAATGTTTTGATTGGCAGAATTATTGTTATACTTTTGAAATTAAAACTCAGCCCTCATAGCCTAACGTTTTATAAACAACATTTTCAACAGACGTATATATCTAACGCTAGACTAATCAATTTAGTATTCAAAGAAAAGTTATGAAACGTTTTGATTTACATAATTACATTTTATAATTGTTATATGTTACATTATTGAAATTTATACTCTGTAAAAAAACTTTGGTTTCCCGATTATTAAAATAATAACCCATTTCTGAAACGTTGAATTGTTCATTATACTATAAGGGAAAACGTTTCAAAACGTTTTCATAAACAGTAATGCATTATTTAGTTATACAACATTACACTTTTTATAAGTTGAATTTTGAAACAAAAAAATCCTTTCGTTACGATATTCAATCAAATCACAATTAATTTTTCAAACATTAGACTTTCAAGCTCCTCATGGAAGCAAAACATTTCTTTACCTATAGGTCAAACAAGATGTAGATATTTGAAAAATAACGTTACATTACCAGAAAACGCTAAAGTTGGGGGTTTGTTCCTCTAAAGTTAACATTTAACGTTACCGTTAGGTATGAGCTCCTATAACGTTAACGTTTAACGTTAAAGTTATATAGAATATATCCAAACATTACACATTATTGTAACGTAACGTACAAAAACGTACATTTTATGTTACGTTACACTATCGATGACATCTCTAGTATCCATCCTTAACATTTGTATCCAGATGAGATAAACAATCAAACCCAACCTATATCAAATTGATAACATTCATATCCATCCTTAACATTTGTAACCAGATGAGATAAACAATCAAAACCAACCTATCTCTAATCCATAACATTTGTATCAATCCTTAACATTTGTATCTAGATGTGATAAACAATCAAATCCAACCTATATCAAATTCATAACATTCTTATCAATCCTTAACATTTGTATCCATATGAGATAAACAATCAAACCCAACCTATATCAAATTCATAACATTCGTATCCATCCTTAACAATGCAAATATTTCAAAACACTTTCGTTTTAAATAAATGTTAGAAATATCCATTTTAGATCTCTTTATTTTATTATAGTGACTTTTCAAGTCAACACAAATATATAACATTTGTATCCATCCTTAACATTTGTATCCAGATCAGATAAACAATGTAACCCAACCTATCAAATTCATATTATTCGCAAATTTTTTTTTGTAACAAAATTAGAGAAATATTACTTAAAACTTAAAAAGTGAATCAAACCTATTTTAGCCATAAAAATGATAAAAACTCACTCTCGTATCAAAGCTGATATGTTCCCCCTCTCCCCACCCCACCCACTGTTATTGTAAAAAAGTTGAAGAAATATTAACTAAAACTTAAAAAGTGAAAATCGTACCTATTTTAGCCCTAAAAATGATTAAAAACTCACACTCGTATCAAAGCTCCTCCCCCTCTCCCTACCGCACAAGCTGTCAGATTCTACACAGGCATTCGACTAAAATTATTTACTGAGGATCTACAAAATTCAACCCCCCTCTGTCTCTCTCTTGGAATTATAGTAATGACATGCGGCAATTGGGGAAATTCGAGACCACGACGCCCTCCCCAGAAAGTCTCCCTACGCCCCATGCCCTCAGAATAGCTGTCGACATTTTCCGCGGATTTTCCGCAAAATTGTTTCTTGATGGAGAGCTTATTTTGGAAGGTTACTTAATTTTTAAAACTCAGTAAAAAACAAAATTTAAAGAACTGCTACTCTGTTTTATACATTTTTCAGAAACATTTTTAAAAATATAGTTTTGTTTTTCCTTTTTTCTTGTTTTTTGTTTTAATATTTTTCAAAAAATTTTGTAACATCTCTTTTACTTGTCAATATAACATTATGAAATTTTGAATAGAAAACAAATTTTCAAATCCATATCTGAAGAAGAAAACAACTTTGCCTAATAACGTTTTAATAGAAATACTCAATTTGTTTTAACTTATGAACAAAAACGAACAATTGTGTGATAAAGTTTTATTTTTTCCTCCACCCATACATTATCATTTTACCCAACTATTTTTCCAATCTGTACTCTGCATATTGAATCACCACTCTTTAATCTTCAAATCAGAAGATTCTGAACACCTATTATTTTCACACTTGAATAAAAAGCACTTTTGAGTCTCATCTCCCACAGAAGCCATAATAAATCTGTTTCGTAGCAACACAGCAGCATTGTTTGATGTCTTTGGATCTCCAGTTCTTTTGTTAACTCTAGGATATATTACATCAGGGTTAGAAAAACTGTTTATTCTGGGAAATGCTTTTGGATTATTAGGATCTTTAACATAAGACATCATAGTGCGATAGCCCCTTGATGGGTCATTTGGATTTTTAATAAAGCTTCCATGGCCATATGGGTAATTTTCATTAATATCCTGTTCAACGTTGTGTTGACAACCCAAATTGTGACCAAGTTCATGGCCATAGCTAAAGGTTTCAACGCAGCTCTTCTTTACAACACTAATTGCATTCCCATCAAATTGGTTAGTGTATCCTCTCCCACAAGCATCTTTCATACTGGATACAAGTAATGTTGCTGTATCTGCAGTTTGTCTAAGGTTTTCTGTTGTTCCTTTTAAAGTTCTAAAATTTTTAAGCATTTCAAGGCTAGAATCCATTTCTTCAAGGTTAGCTTCCTCTATGCAAGTTTTGACTACAGTAATTGGAACCTTGCTGTTAAGAAATCCTTGGTTAGTAATAGCTATCATTTTATCCACAAAGTCATTAATGTTGTTTGTAACATCTGCAAACTTTTTAGTAAAGTAAACTTTTACTGAAATATAGGCCATGGTATGATTGTCTGTTGTTTTTTCAGGTAACTGATTTGACCATTCTCCTCTATTGACATTACCAGGGTTTAACTTAATAGCATCTGAAACATAAAAAGCTTCACCTCTATTACCATTCCTAACCAATGACAGCTGATCAAGCTTTTGAATATCCATTTCTTTCCATATATGCCCCTCTACTCCAATATGCTCAAGTACAAAAGTTCTTCCATCTTCTAAATTAGCTGTTCCACTCATCGCACTGCTTTCAGGATTGTAAGTAACTATAAGACTGGCTCCATCTCCTTCATAATTGTAAGCATTGTCATTCCCCGGAATTTTGTTCTTGAATTTTAATTCTAAATTCCCAGGGAGCAGAATACTTTTCTTTCCAAGAATATCAGAACTAATGTCAGCGATCTGACAGGATAAGAGATCAGGATCATCGCAGAACTTTGATGTTTTAGGAGAAAAAGCTCTCAATGATGCACCAGGACCTATTCACAAAAATATTTGTCATTTAATTTTCTCTCCAAATTTTCTATATATCTGCTGTTATCAATTGCTGAGCACACTGTAATTTTTTTAAATAAATCCAAAATTAAATAATTTTTGCTAATCAAAACTTTTGAAAACACTTATCATTCATATTGAATTATTCTGTACTCAGTTAAAATTTTTTTTAATGTTTTCTTGAATAGCAAGATCACAATTATGGATTAGATAATTGGAGCTTGTGAAAAAGACTAAATTCCTTGTAATAGAAATGGGTACAAAATGAAAATCCTCAAAGAAGCTGATTTATTGCCTCAAACTCTTATTATCAGCAATATCGTATCTTTGCAACTTTATTGTGTAAACCATAAATTGATAACTCGACTCTTCACTTACGTTATGTTATAGTCTTATTTTTGAATAAAATATTTTTAAAAAATTTATTCAAATTAAGGAATAATTAGTTGTCGTTTTTGGCCACCAGGTAGCGCAAAGTGGCGCCGTGGGGGTTTATTCATTCTTAATTATTGAATATTCAGTTCAGTAAAGCAGAATAAATATTACTGGCAAGTTGAATTTAAGAATTTTTAATTAAAATAATTTGAAATATTCCCAGTGGCTTGGATAAACAAAATAAGAACTATGGTTGTAATACGAGGAAACTTATTTCAGAGGTGTACGTATTTCTTGTACTGAATTGTACGTCTCTAGGCGTAAATGTAAACACAAGACAGATGTCGAAGCCTGACATGGGATCCATCTTTCTTATAAAAAATCAATGAAATATTCTGGTTCTAAGAAACTGTTATGTGATTTATCAAAATTATCAAAATTTAATGCTTTTATCCTCCTCGGATACTAAACGAACAAGGATGCATCTATTCTTGTTTACAAATTCCGCCCAGAGAAAACTACGCAACTGCAATTAACTTTCCTTGCATTATAATCTTGATAAGAGCAAAATAATTAAATTATTTTTATATAATTTAGTCAATAATATTCTTGTGATTGCCTGATTACACAATTTTGAATTAAATATACAATCTTGAATTTTACATTTCAGCAAATTATAAAGTATTATTATTAGTATTAGTATTATAGATTAAGTGATAACATTTTATTGAAATTAAATTAGAATTTGTAATATGTACTTTACTTTGTCTGAAATAGTTATTGTTATTATTATCATTGGGAATTATTATGAATCAAACTCAGTTGCTAATCACCCTCAGAAGAGAGTAAACCTATCTTATAGCGGTCCTGGACTTCATCTTTAGCCTGCTGCAGCTGAAAGAAGGAGTTTAACAAGTTCTCAAGCCTTGTACAAGGAAACCAGTTTTTTACTTAATCAGCCCTGAGTACTGGACTGCTGTGGGATATTCCTCTAAATGGAGCTTAAAGGCTTACAACTCCCCATTTTGAATAAGGGGTGCAGCTATGGTTTTTCTTAAAATTCCCCTTAGTTGGGAGCAATCTTGTTTACTCCTCCTCCTACAAACACCCTTATCTCTCTCCTACCTGCTCCACAACTCAATGTAAAAAGAACTATTTGGAGAGGCCTCCAAGTGTAGAAACAAGAAGCAAGGAGCAAGAAAAAAAGAAGAAAATTGAACAGCAAAAATTGGAAGGAAAGTCTCTTGATATTAGAGATGGGGGATTGGAAGACATCCCCCTCCCCGCCAGGATGGGGGGGTAAGAAAATCGCTCCCCCCTCCCTGTCCCCCAGAAAATATCAGAAATTGGTGTTCTGCTTAGTGATGTAACTCATATGAGTAAACAATTCAATACAGAGTTCAGAAAAAAAGAAAGCAAGATCCTCTCCATTCAATACAGAGGTCAGAAAAAAAGAAAGCAAGATCCTCTCCATTCAATACAGAGGTCAGAAATAAGCAAGATCCTCTCAATTTAATACAGAGGTCAGAAATAAGCAAGATCCTCTAATATTAGTTCTTTCTTGTAAAGTTAAAAGGACTTTCAAAAATTTTTTTTTTTTCAAAATTAGCCAAAATATAATTAAAAGATGTACAAACAAGAAGAAAATGAAGAACAAGAAGTATAGAAATTTCAAAATATCTTCATTTGAAATCATATAAATATTTAAAAATATTGTAAAAATTACTCAAAATAAATTATTTAAGTAAAAAATTATGAATCAATCTTAAAAAGCTTTACCTTTGGGGTTCAAATCAACTAATAGTTGAGGTTCTTCATCATTTTCTTGGATGTCTAAGGCTAACTCATTTTCAAATCCTGCTTTTTTATTTCCATTTTCATCAGCAGTCTGTGCTAGGTACGTTCTGGATTTTCCTGTAATAGTTATATCTATTTATTATATTTTTTTTACTGTTTTTGTTTGTTTAAGGTTTAAATTTAAGATTTTAATCACGCACATAATGCGGCATTGAAAATCTTGAATTTAAACTGAAAACAACCAAAAAACTAAAAATTCCAACAAAAGCATAATTTCCCATATGAAAACACAAAAAGTTGGGTACAGAAATTTATTTATTTCAGATTTCATAGAAATGTTTTTTTATTGAAATCTGCGAAATAAAAAGGGAAACCTGCTTTGCCGGAATAAAATGTTACTTTTTAAAAAAATAAGAAACTTTTTATACCTAAAATCATGAAATTCTTTGTAAAAATGCAGAATAAAAATTTTCTCAAAATTGAATTAAATGTTTTTCATTAATCTTTAATCCACAGAAATTAAACATTCTTGAATGAATTCTTAGTTTTTCATGATTATCATTAACAATCATGTTATTCTAATCATTTATATGCCACTATTTTTTTCATGAAACTTCCTTCTTTCTCAATAACTTTGTAATTCTTTATTTAAAATCATGCTTAATCAAATTCTTGTAAAAATATATTTCTACTGCTAATATAACATCTAAAACAGTGTTACGCGAGCCATGCTGCGTGTAGAAAGTCTGCTTGTCACCCCTGCGTATTTCTGAGTTCC